CTCCGCTGCTCCAACCCCAGCGCACCCCCTTCCTCCAAGTCCGCCCCTGCGGCTGCTCCCCGTGACCCACGGTGTGTTCCCGGCAGCGCCGCCCATGCCGGACCCGTCGGCTCTTCCTGGCCTCGGCTCCGTGAGCTTAGTCTGTTCTCTGCGGAGCAGCCGGTCTCGGGTCTCGGGCTCGTTACCCTCTGGCCGGTGGCCGGACCCCCAGCAGCGCCCGTCACCTTTGCCCCCCGAGGGTCCGGATAGGGAGCCTGACCCTGACCTGAGGACGGGGGACGCAGAGGTCTGTGACGTCCTGACAGCTGCTTTTATTTTTAAAATCCTCACCTGAGCATGTGCTGACTTTTCAGAGAGAGAGAGAGAGAGAGAGAGAGAGAGAGGGTGCGGGCGCCATGGTGATGTGAGGGGGACACTGATTGGTCGCCTTCCCGAACGTGTCCCGCGGGGATCAGCCCACAACTGGGAATCGAACCCGAGACCTTTCAGTGCTCGGGGGACGACGCTCCAACCAACCGAGCCCTTGCCAGGGCCTGACTGTCGGTTTCCTAAAGGCTCGAATGCCCGAGGTTGGCCTGGCTCCGGGCTGGGCCCGGCACAGCCGGGGCAGACCTGCAGCTGGGGCGGTGCCCAGTGCCTTAGGGGTGCAGCCCCCAGGGGTCCGTCCCTGCCTGAGGCCATTTTTTCACCTTTCCTTGGTTTCCAACCAACGTCCTCCCGGGGCTAGAGGCTCAGGGGCTGGCGGCTCCTGCTGCTGGGATGGGACCGCCTGGGACTTCCTGCCCAGACCTGGTCTTCCCCCCTGCTGGCTCTGCCGTGGCCGGTGGCCGGCGGCCAGGCTGCTCCGGCTGGGCGTGTGGATTTAGAACATGTGCCCTTCCAGGGAGGCCGGCAGGGTTAGGGTTAGGGTTAGGGGCCTGGACCCACAGCTGGTTCCCCACCCAGGGCCAACCCGGGAGGACCAGGCGGCCACCGTCATCCAGTGCGCCTTCCGGCAGCGCATGGCGAGGAAGGAGCTGGCCCTCCGGCAGCAGAAGCGCGGGGAGTACCTGGAGCAGATGGAGAAGCTGCAGAGAGAGGTGAGGCCGGCTCCGGGCGGAGCCGTGGGAGTGGGGCCTGAGCTCCGGTACCGACTCACGACCTCGGGGCGGCATTTATTAATAAAAATTAATTACAATTTTTTTCTTTTAGCTTTTCCTCTTGTGCAAAATTTTTCTGTTTCAACTTTTTAAATTTAATCTGGGATTTTACCATAAAAAAGAAAGTTATTAATATTTTTAAGTGAGAAAATAGAGGTTTAAAGAGACAACTGATGTATTCTAAGGATGAGAAATGTTGAGGTAGAGTGGGTATGTCTTAACTCCCATTTCTCTCCTCTTTCCACTTAATGACTAATGTATTTTCTCCATCTTTTCAACTCTTCCTCAGCTCTCTTTCAAGATTTAATTTGA